CCCTGGCCCCTCCCCCCCCCCCCTTTCCTCCTCCTCCTCCTCCCAGCTCTTTCTAGTGCCTGCTCTGTTTCCATAATCTTCTTTCTGGATTGGTGCAGGACCCGGTGAGAAATGCGGCTCGGTGGCCCCAGCGCCGGTCTGGCTCCTCGGGGACGTTGTGCTCCCTTGTAGGCCCGTCCCCCGGTTCAAACGAGCGGGGAACCGAGTTGGGCTTTTTCCCTCCTCCCCCTCCTTCACCCCCCTGCAAAGATATTGCTTGGCTTGCAGTTGGAATTGAACCTTCTTTGTCTTAAAGATGACCGTAAGTCGTGAGGTCCTTTGGAGTATCGGCAAGATTTGCAGCAAATTCTCTGCTGCGTAAAACTGATGAGCCATTAGAATTCGCTGTAAATTACAGTAAAGCACTAATTACGTTTTTTTTTGACACACACCCCCCTCCCTCTGTGTGTGTGTGTGTGTGTACACCTTCAATGGAAAGGGCAGCATTGCAGCGGGAAGCATGGGAACAATCTCCCTGCTGTTTTGTTTAGAATTGTGTTCTCTATTTCCCTCTAGTTTTCTTTGTTAACTGTAGGTATTTATGTCCTGTGTTATTTTAAGCTTTGTTTTGTCTTGTGATAATTTATTTTCGCTTATTCATGTTGCTCGTGTAGAAGTCAGATGCCCTGCAAAAAAAAGTTCCAACTTAACTAAACTTACAGTTCATATCCAGATCCTTTAAACTGAGTGTTTTTTTTTTTTTTTTTTTTTTTTTTCTTTCTTTGTTATTATCTTGACAGCCTTTAACGCAATGAGTGCTGTTAATCTAGCCAAAGTTGACATGAGTATTTTGAGAAGCCCCGTGTAAATTTGGGTTTCGTACTGGCAAAAGGTACTTTAATTATGCGGGTGATGCTGGGTGAAGTGAGCTATACCAGCAAGCCTGCTCTCTCCCTGATGTAACTGGATGTGCCCTAGGACTTCTGCCAGCTCGCAGGGAGCACAAATACTTCTCTTAACCAGCGTAACAGGAAAGCGTCTAGGTTGAACCTACCCTGAGGTTGCTTATTTAGATGTTGACTCGAAGCAGTTGGTGAATACGGGTAAATGAATATATTACAGATCTGAAACTTTCCGCCCGCTCCGGCGCGCGCGGGGCGTTAAGCTGGTAAGAGCCAAATGAAGTTGTGAGTTGGATGGTCGCTCCCAGTGGCCATTGGGTATTTTCAAAGAAATCCCCCTTCCGAGAACGCTCGGTCCCAAGC